ATTTGGCAGCGTAGGAAGAATTCGCAAATTATTGAGCTTTTCTTATCGAATATATTTCTAGAGAGGATATTGCGCTAAAGCATACAGACTAAAACTAACGAATATCTGTTGTTCTGTTTATTTTCATGCTATATGACATAAGTCTGTTTCATCTGCCGTGAAAGTTTCAGAATCTCGATGTATCTTTCATAAAGATATTCACTAGATAGATGATATCAATTTCAAACAGTACAGGTTTTCGTGAATATCAACGTGGAGTGGTTCGAGCAAGTGAAAGGCACATTTATCTCCATGTTTTGCTCCCTTTTGATTTATGGAGATTACAACTGTCGTCTGTTGGGGGTGTGGCTGTGGGTGCAGATATGAACAGCACTCGCACCCCACCCTTAACAGATCTATTTTTAATTAAAGTTTATTCAATCAAACCTTTGTCATTTTGAGGCTATACGTTTCTCGCTGAATATAGTCGTTTCTTTAGGTAAAAGGAGCGAAATCGTGCAGCATCTATATTGAGTCTATCAAGAATCTAGCATGAAAACGTCGAAAATTTTCTTTGGGCGATGAACGGACTACGACTGTCAAATTCTTCTCAGCGATGTAACTATTAACCAATGGATTTGATGAGCGTATGTACAATTCAGACAAATAGTATTATCAAATATATTTCTGACACTGATCCACGTCGTCAATATTGTTTTAAGAATAGCGATTATGCATATAATTTCTCTTTGTTCTTACTGAATTGGCTACACGTTTCACAAGGACTAATCAAGTGAACAAGAAGACAAAAATATTTTATTATGTGATATTGACTATTATTATTTAGATTTGTAAATTAAGAATTTCACAATGAAGTTCGTCATTCTTTAGGAAATTTTTTTTTTCTACATTTTGTCGTCGGTTGTTACTACTTCGTATTTAAGCTGTTAATTTTTTATGTCGAAACTCAGAAAAAAAGAAAAGAGAAGAAAAAATGATTGCACCTCATTACTTTAATAAGAAATACAAAGAAGGCTGTATACTTTTAGAAGATTGAAAAAATTGTTTCTTCTTGTAATATTACTGTCGCATAACATGAACTTCAACTTGAAACTGGCATTTATTCTAATAACGTTATTTACAAGTTGTTCGGCAGTTAATCAAACTGGCGTTCAATCTTTTAAGATGATTGCGGTACCACAAATGCGCTTTCGGCGTTATTCTACATGTTTGGCAAGTGAACAAGTATCGAGCCAAACTCGAATGCAATGTCTAAAGGCCTGTTCCATATCAAACTATTGTCAGACTATCACTTTTATAGTTAGTCAAAAAACATGTTATTTATTTGGTGATCGACTCAGCGACGGTGAACTCATCGCTGATCAAACTGCTGAAACAGTCTATATCACTGCACGAAACCCATGTAAGTATTATTTTTGCTTTTAATGATCGTTTTTTAAGATTACTAATATCGAACTAGAACAGAAACGCGGCAAGATGTTATTGTAGTTATATCAGCTCTGTTTAAAACTTTCCGAAGAGAAAATGTTCTCGTTTTGCTCTCATGTAGTATGTGTACTGGTAGTTTGACTAGTGATAAAAGCACCTCATAATTGCGTACTTCGTTCTCTGCTCTTTCCATTCGGACTTGTTTATTGAACAATTTCTGAAAAAATGATTCAGATGAGTGAACTCATTCGATCTGTAATGAAGCTTCTCAGTTAATGGAAACGACCATTTATTATGCAGCCGAATAACTGCGGCTAATTAAAACCAACTTAGATGAATTCATTTCCGAATATTCTTGAAGTTTTTTTTCTGTGTCAAATTACGGACTTTTATACATCGAAAGGGAGAAGTCTTATTCGATAGATAAAATACAAGCAATTTAGTACCCAGTTTTCTGTTGAAACTCGAAAAAATTCACTACAGAGATATTCAAATTGTGAGCTTATTTCCAGTTCCATTTAAAAACAATGGAATATATAATCTAGTTATGAGAGATTCTGAAAACATCGTGAGAAGTTCTACTTCTCTGCCATTTTTTCTTCTATTATCGTTCATACTAAGGCCCATTTGAAACAAAAATGAATAAACAGAGTTTATTAAACCGCCTAATTCCTCTCGAAATTCGTCTTGAAACATTGATGAATATTGTAATGTGATATGGCGATGATATTTCTCTTATCTCCTATATCGTTTGAACTGAACGAAAACTCACGATTAATTGCAGTTCGTCATGGTTAATCGAGGTTTTCTAGCCTGATTATAATAGAAATAACTATACGTATAGTGAACAGCCTGTATATAACCATTGTTTAACATCTACTCGTGCAAATATCTTGTGAATGACCAAAGAGATGATTTTCTCCTCTACATCTCTCCGTCAATAATAAAAAAAAAACAGTTATTTTTTCAAAAAATAATTATTATTGATCATTTTGATGTGTAGATTTACTAGTGAAGTTTCTTGCAATGCTATTGACTTATCATGGTTTATTGGAATATTCGAAAAATCACTTTTGCATTGCTATTAATCGATAATTCTTTTATATAAATCGAGATTAATAGTCAGAATTGAGACGATTTTGACGCCTTGAAAAGTCTTTACAAATATATGATTATGATTTTCATATCCAAAGAAAATTGTAAAAACCGTCGTTTTTTTCATAAAAACAATCAACATGAGCTAATTTACGACTTTTCACTTCTGATTCCTACATGTGAATATTACGATCTATTCTCATCAACATTTTTCATGCACATGTCACCTTCATGACCATTTATTAACGGTGATGTGTCGTCTGCTTGTTATGATTCTGCTTTACCTTCAATGTATCAATGAATTGTAAAAAAAAAAAAATAGGCAGAACTAAAAATCTTCGTATTTATTTATTTATTAGTACTCCAATCAATATTTCCGATTGATACTACGTTACGAATTCAACAAAAACAACTTTTTGCGTATATAACCATGATAAACCATTTTAAACAATTATGAGTCAGATAAAATTAGTTGATAAAGATTTTCTTCTTGTGCTGTATTTCGCATCGTTTTCATTATTCAACACTTTTTTTTATAAGAAACATTAATCTGAATTTTTCTCACATAACTAAACCTCAAAATGATTTGTTAGAATGTTAAGAGATGAATATAAGGTTCTATCATTGTATTCAGAAAATGAACACTCCCTTTCAGATCATCGGCCCTTGCTATGCTCTCTGATTAGACTATTTGTGAAACCACAATCTTGACTAATTTCACCCACAACTGTTCACTCCATTAGAGCAGGTATCCTATTAGATAAGCACGTTGTCTATAGTGCTCGAGTAGAGATCACCCAATTAGTGTGACTGATTACAGTAAGCAACTGATGATGGAGCTTATTTTCAATTATGTAAAGTAGTTACTTAATGGACATGTCATAAAATATTAAATTCAAAACATCATTCTGATAAATCGTTTATAACTTCTGTTATTAAGGTGTTGATATGATGAGGAAAGAATAAAAGATTCGACAATATTGTAAAATTCTAGATTGTTAAATTTCAATCATTCTTAGTATTACTCACTAAGAGAGCAAGGAAAAAGTCCAATCTCTAAATCTTTGATAAAGAATACTAAGTAAACAGTTCCCATATCAGAAGCAGTATAATTTATTTGAGACTACAATTGTAATAAAACAAATTTCCTACACATGATGTTCCTCTTTGTTACTCGAAACTTGTGTAAAACTACAAAGTATAGATGCCTCTTCAAACAAATGTCGGACGATTGCATATTTTTTACGCTTTCTGACAACTATTCATGCATAACAAAAGAGTGAATGTAGTAGCAAACGACTTTTTTTTTATAACAGTGAAAATTGTTTCTTCGGCTTTCTACTTGATCGTCTAAGATGATGCTATTATTCAGCTGTGTTTTAAAATTTTAATAAGATCATGAAAGATATGCAATCGTTTAATTTGTTTAATGTAACTTCCAGTAACTTGAATCATATTTTGAATTTCAACTTCAATAAAGCGAAGAAGGTCATGATTTTGAGAAAGCATAGGAAATTTAGTTGTTGCAACAATATTTATCTAATAATTCATTGTTGAATGATTGGAAAACTACTTTTCATTGATTAGAGACGTCAGGTGGAAAAGGCATCATTATAAAGATAATAGCAACAATGAAGATGATGAATATGACTAATCAGATAGGCTAATTTAAACAAAAAATATATTACTCTATTAATAAAAATATCCTTACAATGGAATTAGATATACAACTTACTTCAATTAATGCTAAAACAAATAATAATACAAAATATATGCATAAATAGGCTGCTAGCTGATTATTAACAGAAATATAAAGTTGATTGGCAAACGGTAAATTATTTCGAAGCACTCACATGGACAAAAAAGGATGAAATTTTTGATAATCATCATCGATTTCAATGCAACTCATGAAGTCTTTAGGTCGTCCATTTTTCTCTTCAGAGATAGCTATGGCTCGAATAATCCCTCAAAAATTGTGAAATTAAGTCATATTAAAAACAGATACTGCATATATCCTTATCCACTTTCTTTCGTACTGAAGACCCTTTTATAGATCTTCGCTAGATTGTCATTTCTTTCAGTTATACATAGCTCGCCGACGCTTTCACTTCGTGCTACAACTCCTTCTTACTGGTACCCGATTTCAGTATTGATTGGTGACGTTAACAATGACAATAAGCTAGATTTGATACTTGCTGAATATCACGGACAACGGGGTGAACTGTTTTTGGGAGATGGTACTGGACAGTTCAACGGAACCACTGTTTTTGATACTAATTGGCATCCAGTCGCAGTCGCTGGTGGGGACTTCAATAACGATACTAATTTAGACTTTGTATCCGTCTCAGCCGACTATGGATCTGTGAAAATATTTTCTGGTTTTGGTAATGGAACGTTTGTCGTGCAATACAACTATTATGACTCTTATCGAAAAAGATTTGTTGTTGTTGATGATTTTAACGGTGATAATTACTTAGATTTTGCTGTCGCACTGACTGATGACAACTCGGTGACTTTACATTTGGCAAATAAAACTGGAAGTTTCATTGTTCGGCAAGGTTTCCGTGTTGGAGCAAATCCATTTGCGATGGTTTCTGGCAAATTCAATGGTGACAACTATGCTGATCTTGCAGTTGCTAACTTTGACAGTGACACAGTGAGTATTCTTCTTGGAACAGTTAATGGAACTTTTGAAAATGCAACAAACTATGCTGTTGGAGATGCTCCAGCGTCAATCGCTGCTGGCTACTTCGACGGTGACTCTTACATCGATCTTATTGTTGCCAACTTCAACAATCATACTATGAGCGTCCTTTTGGGAAAGGGTAATGGGAGTTTTGCAACAGCAAATACATTTCTGGCAGGTGTTCCTCAACCACGCTCAATTGCTGTTGCTGATATGAATATAGATGGTATACCTGATGTTGTAGTCGGCTATGTCAACTATGGAAGTAGTAAAGTTGGTGTACTCATTGGTAAATGTGATGGAACGTTTTACTTGCCGACGAGATTCTTCTCAACTGCTTACGCTCCTAATGCGATCGGTATTGCTGACTTCAACGGGGATACTCGACTAGATATTGTTGTCTTAAATTCGGATAGCAACGTAATCAACATTTTTCTGAACGTAGGACCTTGACTACAACTGGCGATGATGATAAGAATCATGTAAGACAATAGCCATACTATCACTCTGTATTCATTTTTATTTATGCTGTTATCTTTTGTTGCTCTTCTTTTTCTTTCTTTCTTTCGTTTATTATCGAAGACATGTACATGTGCATGTATGTTAAACAATTTCTTGCCATGTGTTAGTTGGTTTATTCGTGAAAGTAAATGTGCAAGATCAAAACTGAGACATAGTATAATTATGAACAGTCTGGCAGTGACATTTTTACAATGTTGCTCTCAAGCGAAGTACTCCTTGTAAGATTTTAATTCAAATAAAGAAAATAATCGAAGTTTAATGTGCATTCAATCTACAGATACATGCTTATGATTTTGATGATCATCTCTATGTAGAGTGTAAGTGTGGCTGTGGGTATGGGCATGTATGTGTGAAGGAAAGAAGATCATCATTGACACTCAACTCATACCCACATCCATCCATTACGTATGATGATTTTTCTGAAGATAAAGATTATTTTGATGATGATTGATGGAAAAAATTAATTTCAGATTATTTGTTTGAATTAGAAGAATATTATTTAGAACATCATTAATAAATTGATGATTCTGAACTTGGATCTTTAACAAATTTTGGACCTTCACATCAATTTAATTCATCGTTTTGAACTGAACAACAATGAATATTTGAAGTTAAAATGGATTCTTTCGAGTATGTTTACACGATTCGTTCATTCAAGTACATTGAAAAGAACCTCTTATAATATATATATAAATATACATATTTTTGTTCTTTTTCTTAAGAAAGAAAGTATGATATCAAGTTCTTCATTGAACTCTCAAAGTCTACTTGACTTATACTTGTGGATCGTCCTCGTGATGAATAAAAAAGCATCTATTCTGATATATTCATTGAAATAATACATAAATCATCTGCACTTGATATAGTTAAAATTATTTCTGTGACGTATTCACATTCCAGATGTTTATCTATTGAAGATATAATTGAAGAAGTTGATTTTCTTATTAGACTTTGCTCTCATATAACATATCTTAAAGTATGTTTCATAAATAATATGAATATTGAATTATTTGTCAAAGATATTTGAAAGAAAAATAGCAATGATTGTAATCAATATTTTCGTTCATTGTGTATTCATAGTCCAACAGCAGATAATGAAATCATTCAAAAATCAGAAGAAATAAATTAATCATGAGAAATTATTTCATCATTTCACAATTAAATGAATAGTTGACAACATCTATTTACAATGAAAATGATCGATTATATTGAATGTTGTCTTTACGCTTATATTGAAGTTCGAAATAAAAAAAAAAACACGAGTTAAAGTGCATTTATTCAAAAACTTAAATATTTAATTATATTTTTTATCGATATAAACTAGAAAGAAACGATTGTTTGATCTAACAGCACATTCTTAGAAAAAAGTAGCAATGAATAACAGACAATCTTGCATTTTTTAATATGAAATTAACTAATACTAAGACGATTTTGCATAAAGAAGAAATATTATATATATATGAAAGCATGTCATGGTTAACAGGAAATGACTGTCACATTTCACTACTCTAGATCAGTTATTCGACAGTGTTGGGTATGGATGTGGTTGTGTTGTTGAAGAATAGAACAGCACTCACATCTTGGTCCAGATGCATTAATAATCTCTGACGAACTCATACTCACTGTTTGTTTAAAGTGAGGACACTCAAGAGCTAATGCTAGGAAGGTGAGATGGAAAGTAATGAGATATCTCAACTTTGAATGCTAACAAGAATGTGATCGAAGGGATTTTAAGAGAAACTAAATATGTTCACTATTTTTTTTCTTTAATGGGAAATGTCTGCAAACATTTACTGAATCTATATGTGCAGATAGGCAGGTATTTGCATACGTGACATTGACTTGATAAATTTTGTTTCACTTGATAACAACAACAACAAGGCCCAATGATAATTACAGATAATGTAGATTGTCATTTTAGCAGCAGCAAATGTCCGTGATAAAAATATGACAGAATTTATGTTCAAGATATACTGACATGGTGCAATTACATTTTAGCACTGTTCAATAATGACAATATTATGTAAACAACAAGTGATTTTTTTGTTTCATTCTTTATGTAGTACACATATAGGCTGTTTCAAACTAGCGAAACAACGTATTTTTACTATACGATGAAATGATTTTTCTTCACTGGTTCTGTTTTTATCCACAATGTCAGTATCTCTTGAACACCAAGTTAGTCATTACAGAATTTAGTTGTGCAGTTTTTTTTTGCATAAGTGAATTCTCTCATTTTTTTTTTATTAAGAATATTTGCTGTTGTTAAAACAAGTTTATAGAAAATTTATCAATATTATCACGGTTCACATTATCTGTCATTATTTTTACGTCTTGTTGTTGTTATCAAGCGAAAAAAAAATTATCAAGTCAATATGACATATGCAAATACCTGCCTATCTGCATATATAGATTTAGTAAATGTTTTCACACATTTCCTGTTAAAGAAAAAAAAGAGTGAACATATCTAGTTTCTGTTAAAAGCTCTTCGATCACACTCTTGTTAGCATTGAAAGTTGAGAGATGTCTTTAGTACTGGAATGTCTCATTACTTTCCATTTCACTTTTCTAGCATTCGCTCTTGAGTGTCCTCGTTGTAATCAAATACTGAATATGAGTTCGTCAGAGATTATCAATGCGTCTCGACCAGAATGTGTTCCAGTAGATGTGGGAAGTTCAAGTTGTTTGTTTACACTGAATGTTCATTATGCAAAGAAGGAAGCTTCTGTACAATTTGACGCCAATGGTAGAGAGCAGTTGATACTGTCGAACACACCACGTATTCTGACGAACACTATAATGATCTGGTTAACTGAAAGCAAAGTGGAACGAATCTATCGAATGATATGTTTCAACGACGATTCTTGCAGAACTGATGTTCTCGGCAATGTTTACTCAAATGGTAAGCTATGCAAATGGATGACATTTAAAGACCTGATCATAGAGTGAGAGAGCATGAAGAGAAGAATTCTCAATATTCGTTCCCCATAAATAACTTATAATGACACGGTATGTGTCACAAGAAGAAGAGAGCAATAATGGACACACCAGCAATATAGTTGAGTCTTTCGTCCGTATACAACTTGTAAACAAAAAAATTGGAATAATTTGTACTCGAATAAATGTTTCAGGAAAAAAAGGTGCAGTCTTCATTGTTTCTAGCGGATTTTTGTGAAACATATTAAAGATCAAGTATTCTTTTTATTGAATTACTTATAAATTAGATACTCTTTTGCTTTAGCACGAAATCTCAACTATGAAAATCTCTGGGCTAATCTGGTCGCACGTTTGTATGACCCTGTTGCAAATTCTTCTAACCTGCAATGTGCTGACAATCAAAATAAACCAGTCTCCTGCCCTCGTGGTTTCTGTCAATTTATCAACAGAGATGGTTCGAACTCAGTGCGAAAATGTGTTCCTGAAAGTTCCATTCCCAATCCTTACGGTGTTATCATAGAAACCAAGTCGATGTCCGAAACGGAAAATGAAACATCATTAACATACACATGCAACATGCCCATGTGTAACAACGTGATCACGGCCATCGAAGTGCGACATTTGTTGGCGGCCAGGGGAATTTTGATGCCAACCATCACTACCACCACCACCACCACAACAACAATCACTACTGCGACAACAAAAACAACAACAACTACTAATATCACAAGTAGAACAAGAGAGGTATCGATTCAATTGATTATTGGAATTCAATGCGGATTTGTACTCTTCATGCAGTACATGATGGAACAATCATCTGTGATTTGAAGAATTCAATCAGAAAGACCGATATTAATGCTGAATTTTGATGAAAATAGGCTGTACATTTTTCAAATAGCTTTTTGTCGTTGTATATTTTAGAGTTCCAATCGTTATCATCTGAAAGTCATGGTGAGGACATTGATTCAATTCCTTTAGTATTCATTCCTTTTGTAAATCGTCTTAATGCTTATCTTTACACCTTGATATTTTTGTTTGTGAGAGGTTTTTCAAAACATATTCAAAAATTTGTCCTACAGGAATTCGCATACATGGTAAATGTCATTTTGAAAGTAATCTAGTTATTCATATAATCAAACTTCTCATGCAAGTACACGTTCAATTTATGTATGAGCACAATATTACTTTCGTGAATTAATAACATCCTGTTATGCTTTTGTACAGCATACACCATACAATCGGCTACTTCATGAGTAGAAATTCATATGGCAACATCCAATATTTACAATTGTTTTATTTTTGCTAAATACCTGACTTTCTCCAAGAGTGAACAAAAGTTTGCATATGAGAACAAGCAAACTCAGAAAATATTCTCACTTATGTTTTTAATTTGTTTACGATGAAGAGGTGACGAAATCAATTTTAGATTGACGTGATGAGGCCTTAACATTATTTTTGGTGACAAGAACAAATTTTCAGAGATTTTTCCAGTGATTCTGGTCAGATATATAGTTCTGGTTAGGAACTAATCGAACTAATATATATATGTATGTGGCAATTATTTTTAAACTTCATTATTCTATATAACTACCAAAGAATAGTCTGCTTCAGTCAATGGATTAGAAAAAAAAAACATGATTAACAAAATATTATACTGATGGCTCTCTCATATAAGTTTGATTCTTGATATTTGTACGTAACCATAAAGATCTAAAAAACGTATATTCTACATAAAAATGAAGAAGATAAAAAAGAAAAAAGAAAGAGTGATGAATATTCAAGTAGTAATGTTACAGATATCATTGCTAACAGGTCTAGTGAAGACTGATAAGATTCATTGCATACAAACATAATGTTAGCACTAATGTAACATTTTTTTTTGTTTTGTGAGACAAGTGTCATCAGAAAGACTACAAACAGTCAATCTTTTCAACAAGGGATTGAACGCCGTAAAATATGTTTTCTTATAATTGACTTTCTCTCTCTTAGTCTAAACAAAGCAATAGAACTCGAATTAATGTTTACAATCAAGCTTTATAAAGTTTTACTTATGAAAAAACCTTAGATACACATAAATCCTATTTTTCTAGATTTTACTTATGACTGTAAATTTATTTTTCTTCACAAACATAATTAAGTGTATATGTTAAAATGTTTTTAGATGACATTTTAGAAAATCAAAAATTTAATGTTCATTAGGAAAAATAATTGCTAATAAACATAATTAGTCTCAAAGATGTGCAAAAGCACATTTCATTTTCGAACGCCGAACAATGAAAGAATCAACATAAATATTTGAGCAATATCGAGATAAAGCATAAGTGACGCAAAAATATAATCTTCAGCACTTAGTTCATCTTGCTTTCCACCCATAATTAATTGTGTATCAACAGCCAAGAACTAAACATAGAAAATAATTTCTTTCAATTTCTTAATTGTTGATATTTACAATAGAAAAAGCCATAGCTCCTAATTCAGCATAAATTGTAAACATTATCTTAAAAAAATTAATATTTACAGAAAATATAATATTAATATTTAATTTCATTCAAATACTTACTTTTGAAAAAGTAAAAATACAAATAAATGTGAAAGCTAAAACTACCAATATAATAACAAATAAAACTCCAAAACATGATGTAAAATCATATTTTGTTTGAAATGAAAATAATGTAACTTCCAAATAAACAAATGTTGTTATACCAACAGCACTTAAGACTGATTCAATTTTATCATATGTTGAAATCATACCGAGCTAAAGTTTTCATAGAAAACAAATTTAATGAGTAAATAATTATATTTCAATCAAATCATACCAAATAACTCATTGATAATGTCTAAAATTTAAAAAACTTATTTTCGAAATAATTTATATTTTATTATTCTCTTTTATCATAATAGAGAGTAAAATAAAATTAAGTGGAAATTTTCGTGCTGCACTTTTCGAACCAACCAAGATAAAATAAGTAACCAAAAAAAAACAAAGTATGATGTTAAATAAAGCCATTTACCATCTGAACTTCGCACATATTCATGAATTGATGACCCACAATATATTTATGTCATATATTCACTTTTAATATCTTTCATTAGACAAAAAACAACATACATAAAACGATATACGGCAATAAGACCAAATGTAAACGATAATTGAATCAAGAGAATTAAATAAACCTATTTTAAATAAAATTCTTTTTTTTTCTGTTAGCGGCGATCATTACAAACCTTTCGGATAAATGCACAACGAACTTTTTTTGGTTTCAAAACCAGTAAAATTTCCCCATTGACTTCCGCTTTGTTCAACATCTTGAACAACATAAAAGAAAAAAAAAAAGCTTAGCTCTAATTTAACACAATCATCAATTGATCATTTTTATACATCTATATCTTTCTAATTTTCCACTTAATATGTGTGTATATTGAGAATAGAATTTATGGAATACAAATTTTTTGGATCTAGAAATGATCTATTGAATGTATATTGGGTCTGGAGCTGATTGATGAAAACGTTTTTGGCATCAGAATTCGAATTGTAATTCAAAATTTTATAGAAATCTTTAGTATAAATCCTCAACTCGGTTCGAACATGCAAGATACTTTTTAGAGATTATTTTTTTTACTAGTAGTGTAGTCTACACGTTTCTCAGACGATCTTGACGATCCATAGGAAAGTTTCGGACCCGTTAGCGGTCAATAAAAATAGTTTTATTCAGAAAATTTACATATTCTAACAAAGAATAAGAAACTTAAGTCATCAGAATATAACAGTTACTTGCACTCAGAAATTTTACAAGAATACGTAAAAATATTTGTTGTCTACTGCATATGTGATGGCGATTTTCGACTCGGTGTTTTTTCTTTAAGACAATTTAATCGCTATGAAAATACGAGCGACCGTTACTTTTCTTTATTAAGAAAAACATTATATAACAATGTAGAATATATAACAAATGAAGCTGAAGCTCGATTAAGTAGCAAAACTATATGCAATCGTACTTAATGTCATGTTTTAAAATAAGATCTGATCGAACTTTTAAAGAATATAAAGATTCGATTCAACCTAGATGTGAATTGTGGCGTGTTTTTTATACATTCATGAGGTAACTACGTGTACCATAAGATTGAATAAATAAGTCTAGAGCATAGCAGTGATTATATGTTTTTCAAAGAGTCGATATAAAAATAAAACATAATTAGAAAGCTTTTTCTGCTATACCATTGTATCTGAAATCTATTTTTAACTTTGCAAAAGAATTTCATCTATTAAAATAAGACCAACCCTACTGGTCTTTCAGTCGGATAAGATTGATTATCTTCGTATGGTGAATTAGATGTGATGTGCATACTTCGATCGTGAAGTGTTGTATTTATGAACTTCAAAAGAAGACACTTTATATCAATAATATAAAAATAATATGTTATCAAAATGACAAAATTCCTTATTAAGCAAAATGGTAAAAGAGCAGGTCACATCATTGCTTATACAAATGGTGAGTCGACAAAGTATTCTTTGAGTTTTAGAGAATTATGAGTTTTCAGTGAGCAATAGTGAAGTATCTCGATTTCATTCATTACTCTACATCTTAGGAAACATAATCTGTGCTAATAAGTAGGACATGTCCTATCTTTCTCTTCGGTCAATTCAATATGATAAGAGAATTCGGTCACATTATTGGTTAGACGGTCTGACCTTTTGACCGATCATAGCTGTCTGCTGAGCTTTTCCGCTATTCAATCTTTTCTTTCTTCTCATTCTCGTTCCTTCACCATTACCTCTCTTCTATATAAGCTAGTGTTCTGTATGAAGTAGATACCAATGGAGTGGTGGAGTTGTGTAATGAATATTTACATCGAAGATGGTGGCAACTCTACCTATTTAGTTAAATGTAATAGTAAAATATAAATAACCTAGGTAATTAAATATAGCATTCATTCATGTCTCTCTCGTACATCTTCATTTTCCGTAAACATATTGATGCTATAGATGAATATAATTCAATAAAAGACTTGTATTATTTGTTGTCTATATAAAAATACTAGATTTGGATCATGTTAACGTTAAAATTAAAAAGATTCATGGAGATTTTAAAAAATAATTCTTTAAAATGTTTCTCTTTTGTAGAGTGTTTTTTTTGTTGTCTTTAATTGGTAATTTTTCACCATATGAAAAAGATATTCAAATTATTTAAAATAAATCTTTTAATCGTTTGAATTTAGCAATATCTAATTATTTATGTTCAAAATGATATTATATCAACACTTTAATTATATGTCAAATTTATTTGTTGCCTATAATAAATCAATCAAATTAAAATTAACCACGAAATTTTTTTTATTGTAAACAACTATGTGAGTTGCATTAATATAATTCGAGACTGATTTAGCCTTTATAATCTACAATAAAAGGGTGTAGGTGTGGGTTTTAGTTGAAAGAAGGTAGCATGTGCAGTCAGACCTACCCATATTCATCCACATTCATACTCATAAGTCTAAATCGTTCGGTGGAAAAAGCGTGGAACTTTTAAGTTGCAGTAATACATATAGTTGTTTTAGATTGTAGAAGATTATAATAACCATCAGATATGTCAGTCAAGTGTAAAAGATGGATATTAAGTGTCTTAAAAGTCTTTCTTTAGATTAAGATAGAAAACTATTAGATTTTAATTAGTAAAAACTAATTATATCAACAGTAGAGAAATGATAATTCTTCCAGCTACAACTCAAAATTTATGCTTTTTCTGTGCCATCGACCAATTATACTATGTCTGTTCTATTTTTTCTTTCATTAGGTGAGTGTGGGTGTCGGTGTCAGTCTTTTCTTCCTAAGCAGATCCACATCCCATACTCTTAGTCAACTTTGTATATATCAAGCTGTTTCGATATATGGATTAGGTGAACTAATAATCTAAATACAGAAATTATCTTTTATATTAGTGGTCTCTCTATTATCAATTATCAGATGCACTTGAAAGTCTTTATTAACTAAACAAAATATGTTCCCATGTATTTTCGACTATGCTCTACAAGATGGCGATAATGAGTTTTTAAAATGATCACTTCAAAACACCGGTCTCTGAGGTTATGCATTACACGGACAAGCCACTATGCATTAATGATGAAAATCCTGCTAATCCCTAACTTGTACTGAGAAATTCTAAAATAATTGTTGAATTCCCACAAAGGGATGAGTGTGTGAGTGTGGATGTATTTTTTTCCTTCCAAAGTGGCACATAAATGTAAATCCAAAGTCACACATACACGCACACATCAAGAGAACTCTTCATGTCAACAATGACTTTGAAATTTCTCCATGAAATATCGAAAAAACTATAATTGAAAATGCCTGTTAAGAGTTTGCATGTTTGAACAATAGATATTGCTATTCACTCGAACAAATTTGGGAATAATCGTCTATGCATCTATGCTCCAGATCATTTCCACTTCTTACTGATGTTCAATATATGTATATTAATGGAAATCAAAATGTGTTCTCTAAATAAATCCATGTTTTTTTTTAGTCTAAATATCCATTTATTAAGTTAAAAACAATGTGTATTATTTTTATTGATAATTGAAAATTGTCTTTCAATCCACTGACTAAATCAGTTTTAATCTTTGTGTTGTTTGTTAACATGTGCAGGAAGATGAGTTGATTTAAACAATCTAGCCAAAACCCAATCAACAATCCAAGCGGGTAATGTAGAAAGTGGGAAAAAGATAAGACTTGATTGCCAACCAGGCCGATAACGAATACAAGGTGTCGTATTCATAACAGCATGCTGAAGAACGCGCACGACTTTCATAGGATCTTCCGCATATTTCAAGAAAGCATTGGCTTTTGCTGCACTAAATCTGGCTTTCAAAAAATCTTCTCCCCATCGCTCTTGAACATCACTTGAAAGCATATTCCAAAATTCTGAAAATGATTTAGGACCTCCTTGATTAATACCTGTTCTCATAAATGCTGGTTCAATAATACTAACATGTAAACCCCATGGCATCATTTCACGACGAAGACAATCAGAAAACGATTCAAGAGCATATTTCGATGCGCTATAGGCTGACACACTTGCTACTGCAAGGTAGCCGGCCGCAGAACAAATATTAACAACACGTGAATCACGTTTTGCAATAAGTAACGGTAAGAATTTTTTCGTCATTGCAACATGTCCAAAATAATTCACATCCATTATTTTACGCATAGCTTCCATGGATGTCCAATCAATATAACCCGAAATAGAAATGCCAGCATTGTTCACAAGTGCATGAAGAATTTTCGTTTTCTTGCTGACTAATTCAAATGCAGCATCAATGTCTTCTTGTTTGGTAATATCAAGACAAAATACAGTAGCTTTTGATGAAAGTTTGTTTTTAAGAGAAATTACATTATCAGGAAGCAAGACACCAGCGAGAACGTTGAAATCTTGTTTATCAAGTTCAACAGCTAATTCATGACCGAATCCAGTATCACAACCACTAATAAGAACATATTTTCCATTGGAATTGATGTTTGGTGTCGGAAAAAAATGTCGATATAAACAATAGGAGGCATAAAGGACAATAACAAAACCAAGAAGGAGACACATGATGATACTATGAAGACGAATGGAGGAAAAAAAGTAACTTATTCTTTTTATTTTCTTTCTTTCTTTCTTTTTACTTGAGTAATGCATCTACAGCCATATTATCGTCCGCCGAGCAAGCATTTCATGAAAAAGAACGCAAAGCACTCTTTTTTTTAATAAACAGCCGCTGTGTTTTATTCTTTCATCTCTTTGGTTTTGCTTTTGCTGAAATCTATGGAGGATACAAAAAAAGTATTAAATGTCAATATCTCTTATAAGGTACTCCATGGCACTGTTTGATTCTTTTCTAAAGTGGATACGATCGAGCACGAAAAAGAGCAGAAGATCCAAATAACTTTGAATGAGTTGTAGACAATGTAAATTTCGATGAGTACATCTTATGTGTTTTAATTTTAGTTGATAAAAATGCAGTAAACGTTTTTCATGAAAAATACAACAACATTATGTTACAAATCATGTGCAGTTCTGCTGGCTGCTGTACTTGAGAAGATTTGAAAAGTCGGTGTAGGTCATATCTGTTTCATTCACTTCCACCAGGAGTCTCTATCACGATTTGTTCTCTAGTTATTCAAACAGTAGTTACAAGCACTAACTTGAGTTTGGGTGTGCGGGTTTGGTGTGACTGTGACTGTGGCGATAGCTTCTATCTTCAACGACTCCTAGACCCATCTTCATACGCTCTATTCGATGATGCTCTTCTATCTAACATGATCTATATTCAATTGGTTAGAAGTTAATACTTAATCAGAAGAAAAACATTTTATCGGCCAGAACTTTTCTCTTTTATATGTTCAATTTCATCATATAAAATAGAAGCATAACCCGAGGTTGCCAATCAAAATTAATTCCATCGATAAAAAATAATCTCAGTTTGAAAAGAAGAAAAAGAAATCCTGTAAAGGAGATAAGAGAATATATGATATTCATTTCTTTTTGTCTTTGATGATGACGCGTTCTTTTATTCCATACTTGATCTTTTCGAATTTTTTTTTAAGTCAAATGATTCATATGCACTGTTATCTGATGCAAGCAAACATGTTCTTAAGCATTGTATTTGATATTATCGAGTTAATTCGAGGTCAAAATCAATATGTGATTAGGCAAACGAGTCTTATCATCATCTCTCTGTCACATAGAATAAAAAAAAAGGAGCACTTGAATATGATTACAGATATAAAAAAGCGCATAGATAAGATTTAGGAACAAAAGTAAACGCAACACATTACAGTCATCGTTGACAAAATTTTCGTAAGATGAAAGGTAAAAGTAAAATACATGCAGGACTCAGCTGTATTGGCCAGAATAAAAGTTCAGCAGATGAGGTATCATGTTTGTTAAGGATAATTCTGACAAACAGATAATGAAGAACTATCGAGGATGTGATATTTGCATAAATCAAGAATATATTTAAAACAAGTAGCATCATTGTTGTAAATCATTTCAGTAGAATACAAAATAATGTTTTCTTATAGTTGTACGTAGCGATGTTGGTGTACGATAGTCTCTTGTGAATTGAAACCTTAGTACTAATTGATATCTAATGAGAATATCACCTTTCTGTTCGTAATATTTCAAAAGACATCTTTATCAACTTTTTTTAATCATGTTCGACTAATTGTGTGTTTGTAATCCATTTTAAGGATGTATATTTCTTATTAAAAAAATGTAGGACAAAGGTCTACTAAGCATCGTTCAAGAGAGTCTTACAAGAAGACATCGCATCATCACCATGGTAATAAACCAGTTCGTATGCGAGCTCTTCAACAAAAATCCTCTCGAACTACAAAAACATCTACAGTACATGTTAAAACAAGTGGTCCTTCAAGACTTCTGAGAACCGTCAGACATAATCCTGTTCGTTCTACAGTAATAATTGTCATGAGTATGTTTATTTTATCTGCTGTTATCGCATGTATTGTCATATTTACTGTCAAACGAAATCCAGTAAAAACATCCGTAGTAAATCATACATTAACGAATTATACTACGACAACAATGCATATAGTAACATCAACAGCGATAGAAACCACAGTTAGACCGACAATAGTGATACCTGTAAACTCAACTACATCAACACTAGCCTCAACAATAATTACAATATCGAATAGAACGACAATGGTAACAACTAGTAACACGAGAACATCAACGACACCAGTGCCAACATCGATGTTAACCACAATATCAACAGTAACCATCGAAACATTAGCAGCCACAACGAACACAACGGCAGTATCGTCAACAACGGAAACCACTACACCACCGAAAGCATCAATAGTAGCATCGGAAACATCTGGAACATTAGCAGCCACTACAGACACAGTCATTATATCGACAACATCAGTACCAACCACATCTATTATAAAAACTACGTCATCACCAGTAGCAATAACGATATCGACAACACCGATAACAGATCCGATGACATTATCAATCACTACAGAGCTAGTAACAACAATGATATCGTTAACTACAACTACTCGTTCTAGTAAGATTCTCGATAATGTCTTGTTCAGAAAGGATGCTTCTTTCCTCAATTTGAAGGTCAATATGAGATAAGAATAAAAGTTAGATGGATTATCCATTAGAAGTTAACAACACATCGTGATTAAATACTTTGTGTATACTTTTATCAGTTTTTACTTTTACATTCGTAGAAACTAGTGAAATTCAGACTCGAAAACAAGATCATTTGATTTTGTCCAACTTGTTTAGCCGAATAAATCAATTGTATCTTCATTCTGTTGACTTATTTAGCTACATCTTCACCGCCAAGACCTGGTGATGGCATTTGTGAAACAGCTACATGGGAACGAGTAGGTCAAGTTGTGGCTGGTGGTAATGGTGCAGGGTCGAATCGTAACCAATTGGATCACCCTGCTGCCATCATTGTTGATGAAAATCAAACAATTTATGTCTCGGATAATGTTAATAATCGTATTATAAAATGGAATGCTGGTGAATCGAGTGGACAAGTAGTTGCCGGTGGAAATGGTAGAGGAGGGGCTCCTAATCAATTACATGGTCCACGTGGTTTTGTTCTAAACCAAAATGGAACACTTTACATTGGTGATGCTGAAAATAATCGTGTTCAACGTTGGTTTCGTGGTAATTCATCTGGAGATACAATTATAAGTAATATTTATGCCCACGGTATGGCGCAAGATGATGAAGGATCTCTTTATATATCCGATAGAGCGAAAGGTGAAGTGATTAAGCTACCGATAAATGAGACTGTTGGACAAGTAATTATATCCAAACTGAATCGTCCATATCTAATTTTCCTTGATAGAAATCAATCTCTCTATGTAACTGATCGAGATAATCATCAAGTGGTAAAATTAGAGTTTGGAGCAACGCAAATATCCGTTGTTGCTGGTGAATCTGGTGGTGGTGGTGGTGGTATGAATCAGCTGCAAGGGCCAGAAAGTGTATTTGTCGATGAATTTGAAACTCTCTATATAGCTGATAGTTATAATCATCGAATCATACGATGGTTACGTGGAGCCAAGTCCGGTAGTGTCATTGCCGGTGGTCGTGGACAAGGTTCTAACTTAGATCAATTTAATTTACCGACTGATGTATCATTTGATCTCGATGGCAATCTTTACGTGACTGATCATTATAATCATCGTGTACTCAAATTTCCCATCGATAAGAGTTCCTGTTGACAAACAACTAATGGAGAACTATTTTCTGCTTTTCTATGACTATTGTCCGAGAAAAAGACAAATAACGTGAAATTGTATATAGAAGACTGACAATACTCTTCTAACATATGCATCATGTTTTCATATATGTAATACTTGAAACTTGAATTAAAGCATATCACTATTAGTTCAAATATTCAAATTTCAACTTCTCAATGTTCTGCGGATATTCAGTGGGAAGCGCTTTTCCCCACCTAACACACTTTTTATTTCAGTATCATGACGTAGGGGCGCGAAGCTCCCTCTGAAAAGCCGCGATCTATTCACATTTCTGTGTACACCGTTATTCCTACTTCCTGCTGCACAATGACTCAAACTTCTCACATACTTCTTGTAGCATCCCAGATAATGTCTAACGCATCTCAACCAAAACCTGTAGCATCGTATAGGATGCCTGAAGAATAGTAGGTACTGCTTGTGCCATCTTACGTAATACTGACAGCATTCTAGTGAACCCTGTAACATGTTTGTTGATGCTAGTAGCATTTCAGACAACACCTGTCGATGTTAGGTGATTCGGGTGACATTTCAGGGATTGACTAATTGAAAACTTGAATGCTTCAATAGTTGAACTGATAGTTGAATACTTGAATTCAACTTTCAAGTTGGACACTATTGTGGTTGCTTGGATTCTAACAACCTTTGTCAGAGTCTTATCCGACATTGTTAGACGAGTTCATCTCGAAAAGTCACTAAACACATGCGAGGGAACCTATTCATAAAGACATTTTAGTTCAAAGCACTTTTCAATAAATCTAGAGATTAAGATTTAATAAGATTTTGCACAATTAATTGTCTTTTGTCGTGCTATGTCTGAATAGCCTTTAGCACTTCCAACCTCTCGTACATCCGTCACAGTCTTTGTCGTCAATATCTGTTTCCGAAAAATAAGGATACTGACACGGTTTATTTTTGCCATGAATAATGCCATATTGATGACACTCAGTTCCAGCGATTCTACAGCAGCATCTGGTATTTAAAAAGTTGCAACACCGTCCTCGTTTATGTCTTCCGAGTGTTTTTCCATCATTTTGTGTCAACTCCATAATTTGTTTTAATCCGAATTCCAACTCTTTGTTGTCAATGACTTGGTTTTCAATAGGTTCATTAACAGCTGCACACTGTGACATTTCTATTATTATAAGCAGCAAGCATATTGTTGAAATACCACTAATTCTCATTCTTTGATTCTGCTTAAATTGCGCATGTTGAACTTTAAAATCGAGAAATATAAATAAATTGTTTGTTAGCGTCAATAGATAGGTTACTTGACGTCAAACATAGGGTGTGGATCGAGGGTGCGGGGGGAATATGTAGGTGTGAAGAGTGGTAGAGTGTGGCTGTAGCTGCGGAGGCACTTATGTCGTTGGTCGAGAAATCAGGGATGGGTGTGAGTGTGGAGGTTGATGTGGATATGAATTTACAAAAGACCCACATCCACTCGCTGAGATACTTAGAATATAGAAACGCGATCGAATGAGTGTGCACGACGTCATCGTCTACTAAGGTACATTAATATGATAGTTTCCAACGACTATATGTATGTATACCTCATGAATAAATTTATCCGTTCTAAGAAGAAAAGTTTTTTTTTCGCCCAGAAAAAAAATGGCATTATATCTATGTAAATATCTGCAGAACTGAATTCGGGTACACAAAGTTACAACAAAACTATTTATTTATGCTGACCAATGCTCGAGAAATATCACGATAATTAAAATATGTGCAATAAAAGATAGATCATGTTCAAGTATTCTTCTAACAAAACCCAATACAAATTAAAGCTGTGCGTTGATAATATGTCACTTACTTCTAGTTGTCGAGCTTCTCAAATAAAACAAAATCGTATTAGTTCTGTATTTATGTAGGGTCTCTCAAATGAAAAAAGTATTGACAGTGGAGTCCTGGGAGAACGGGAATAATTTTCTTTTCACGTACATGAGAAAGCGAAAACAAGAAAAAAAAGTGAGGGGTGTCTACTCAGCATTAGTAATACGAAAATGTTAATATAAAAGAATTAGAATCAAAAACTTAATTTAAGGTCTCCTCCCTCAAAAATCGATCTCAGGCTAGGAACAGCCAAATTTCATGAAACTTTCAAGACATGTTGGAGCTAGTGAGCCACGACTTTGGTAAAATTTTCAGCTATATAGCATGATGTTTAACAAATAAATTCACCAAACAAGGATCAAAAATAGCTCGATAGTATTTTCAAGTTTTCTCTGTGGGCCTTCATTCTAATATTTAGAGTATTACTGGAGATACGTCATTGAAAGGTATTGGTGTGTAGGTTGGTGGAGACCTTGTGTTACTGCATTTCAATACCCACGTCTACATTCAAACTGATATCCTGCGAATTTTGTGTCACAAGTAAATTTTAGTTTAAAATGAAAGGGTAGTTAATCCTGGAAATGACTGGTTAGGTAATTTTGGAACAATGAAGAAAAAGGCATGGTATGATTTATTCCGCCATAAAAACCTAAAAAAGTAGTAGTTTGTCTTGAGCTTTTGTACATGTATACTAGAATCCATGAACTATCATGTGGCAAACACCAAAGTATTCTAGCTTATTTACCTTTTGAGATATGAATAGAATAAAAGAAATGAAATTGTTTCTCGGATATTTTTTGATAGCTCTATACTTGATTCTTTCTTTAGATGGTTTGAAATTCGTCTAATCAAGCCCAAGCATTAATAAATGAACAAAGGTTTGACTCTCTATTTTCACATACATCGATACAAGAGCATAAAATATGTTGCAAAATAAAATGGAAAAATATCAATAGTAGAGGTGCTGAGGAAGAAAAGCAGTTTTCATATCGTTGTTTTTATCTCTTTTTACTATTTTCAATGTCATTATAAGAGCTAGTTCTAATATATTAAGTAGGTTCAGAAAAGTCTCCATTGTGTTTGAGTGGTTTTTTTTTATTTCGATTCGATTTGGTATGAAAAAACGCGAACCGAATCCCATCTTTACCGTCCAATAGAGGAAGAAATATTCATGACAGCACCACGTACCACACAGTGCAACACGAAAACATCCTTACGCTGTCCATTTCAGGACCTGGACGATTGTTGCATTTGTAGAATAATATTTCTTGATCGTCAAATAGATTGTTTGAATAGAAAAATTATCCGTAGTTCAATTATGCCCATTTCTGTGATCAGTTCGCTTGAATCGTCAAGTCCTGAAATGTTTAGACTTTTTCGTAACCAAACTTTGCACAATTCGATTAGATCATGTTCGAGTTGAAAATGTTCTCAATCTTCTAACATTCACCTGTTAAAAAAGGAAGAAACATAAAACTAACTGTAAGAGTAGACTGAATCAAGTAATTTCAAAAATTAATGCATTTGTTATAAATCAGGGGTCGCAGCGGCATGTGTTCCAAAATCAGGAAAGCAGACAGGAAATTTTTTTTAAAAAATCAGGAATTTTTATAAAAATCAGGAATTATAAACTTTGCTCTAATATTACTTCTTTTGGGATCAAATCTGCGTAAGAGTAGGTGCGACAGTCACGGCTAGTTACAATTAAAACGTTGGTCGCTGAAGTAAACACTAAGACTTGTTGAAAACAGAATCAGTTGTGTAGGAACTCATTCTTTTATTCAGATACACATACTTTTCATCCTTTATTGTTTACTTTTTGTTTCTTCCACTGTCATGATTTTATTCTAATTTCTTATTCTCTCCCTATATATAAAACAATCATGTTATAGCGATTCAGTTTCGAAAAATGTACTCCCTCAATTAAACATTTTCAAACGTCGAAAAATAGTGTTTTGCTCAAAAAGGTTGCAAAAATTAGAGAATAACGATAGAATATGTTCTGTGCGGCTTAAGAAAGGTAAAATTACCAGTTCGTTTTTATGCATTGTGTGTCGTACAGATGATCTCAGTGGTGCTAACGGAGGATGAACTGGTATAAAAAGACATTTTGATCGACCAAAATATATTCAATACGTGAAAGATCTGTTTGGTTCTGTTCCACCAATTGCATCAAATGACTAATCATCATCTTTGTCAAACACTAAAAATGCTAATAGTGTATGTACAGCAGCATTATTCACAAATGAAAACGCAATAAGAATTCATTTTTTTTTATTATTCAAAAGGATAAAAGAGCATTAATACATGAAAAGAGGAAGTATTTGGAATCACTATTTTGTATTTTTATGGCATATTCATTTCACCAGCTAGTGTGTAAAAAGATAACAAAATATCAGAACGTGAGAACAAACCTGGCTAAAGTTTTAGATACTGGAATATCACCATAGAGAAAAGGATAAAAGGAAAAAAGTCGTTAGCACAATTCCTTGAGGGATAAAAAATGTGAAACAGGATATAACTGCTGTTTCCAGTTTTCTAAAAACTGTTCTTTCGTATGCATGTTGGGGTACATTTCTGTACCACAGATTACTTTACATTACACAGTTGAAACAGGATAACACTCCTATATATTCTAATCATATGTTAGAAATGCATTATCTCTGATAGTTTCTTGAGGTCTTCTATCATACTCTATGATGACTCCTGCAGCCTGTCTATCACAGTCTGTGATGAGTCCAGAGTCCTGTCTGTCACGGTTCATGATGGGTCACGTGAGTGTGTGTTACGATCTACGCGAGGGAGGAGAAGGGGGAACGATGCGAACCAGGCTTGCCAAGCCTCCTGATTTTCTCAGTTTTCTCCTGATGAAAAAATCTTCTGATTTCAGGAACTGATTTTTACGATTTTCTCCTGATTTTATCTTTTTCAATTACTCGATGATTAGCAACACGTTGAATCAGTGCAGGTTCTGAAGAAAAAAGAAGTTTTTCGTTTTTTAATGGATTTAACAATAATATCCAAAAAGATAACGCATTTTTTTTCGTTTTCTCCTGACATGAAATGTTAATCAAACAAAATTATTTTTAGAACACTTGTTTTCAATGTATCATTTACTACTATATGATAGT